ATAATTATTGGAGACATATTAAGTAATATTTCTTGAAAAATATGTTCAAATGAGAAAAATGAATTATAGGGAGATCGTATGTGAAAATATCACTTGAGCTTCTTACCTAAGTAATGTACCTATCTTACAATGGTATATGGTTGAGTTCTAAACCTCTTAATAAACATGTAGTCATTATAATTTATTTTTACTGGCTCGAGATGCTTGTGGTTATCTTGGTCAATGGTACATGTGGTAATTTAATAGTTTAATGCTTAATGTTATTAACAATTGATATGTAATTAATGCAATGCTTGTATATAGCTAATTTGTGATTATTATTTTTGAATGATAAAATTAGTGAATAAATATGTGCATGAAGAAATGGGTTTATAAAAAATTTGAGAACCTAACTGAAAAAAACTAAAGAAGAGAGTTACCCATTTATGAAAATGAAAATGATGCATTTGAAGGACCTAGTGAAGATTTTGTGGGTGGTGTTGTAGATAAAAGAGATTAAATTTTTTACACCTACTGAACCACAAACTAGGCCTTTGATAAAGAGAAAAGGTTGAAAAAAGGACTACGTGCATAATCTAGGGTCTAGTATACATGGAAGGGATAAGACTTGGCCTAAAAAGCTTAAAATCTCCAATGAGGATAGCTAAGTCCTAATTAGAATTTTGCAGGCAATAATTTTTAGAGACTAATATCAAGTAATATTTCTTGAAAAATGGGTTCACATGAGAAAAATGAATCATAAAGAAATCATTTAAGAAGGTATTTCACTCAAGTTTCTTGCTCACACATCCATCCCTAAAGCGTAAATGTCAGCATCTTACAACATTACATGCTTGAGATCTAAAACTCTTAGTAAACTTGTAGCTTGTTTTGAGTGGTGTGCTTGAGTTGTAGGGGCACTATTGATGGATTTTATTTACATGGGTATCATAGTGCAGTTGTTTCTGTAAATTTTGGATGCGCAATTTTCTAACTTAATCATGAAAACTAGGATCATGCACAATGCCATATTATATCAATTATATGAAAAACTCAGCTTTTGGATCATTATGTGTGATGGAATTCCTGTATCCTTTTATATGTTATAGTTCAAGATTTAATACACTATTAAATTTAGAATATGAATTGTAACTTACTAAATAAAGTTTCAAGACTTAGTTATTTTTATTATGCATAATAATACGTTGTTGCTCAAAATAAATTTTCATCATCTCTATTATTACTTATCTCCAAACTGATGTAGTATCCTATCCAATTGATGACATAAACCTTATAGAATCAAGCCAACTCGCCTTGTTATTAACACACCCCATGAGAGTGGGATTTTATATATTGCAGTTGACTGTAACTTTGAAGCAAAGCAAAAGAAAAGATTTTCAGTTTTACAATGAAAAAAATTGTCGCAATGATATTTTATAAAAGGTAAAATTGCATACACACTCCTTTGTAGTTTGAGATAGCTACATCCCCCCTCCCCAAGATAAGATAAACGCATTTTACATCATAAGATAAAATTAAAATTGGAAATTAAAATCTTGTCTCATTAGTATTGAGAG